TGCCCCCAGGGATCTACCTCTTTTGCCACAATCTACCTGCCTACAGCTACCACCCAGTTAATCCCTATTACAAGATTAATGCATTGATTAGGTTAAGATTCTCATAACCCAAACATTTCACCTCAAAACTTTCTTGCATTGTCTCACACATGACCTTTTGAGGGACATTCCCTATTTAAACCATAACATGACTTCCATTAATTTTTTGAATGTATCTGTAATAACTGATTTAAAATCTTTGTCTAGTAAGTCTAACATTTGTGCTTTCCAGGAATGGTCTATCAACTACCATTAAGCCTGTGTCCTTTCCTGTATATGTGCCTTATAACTTATTTATTTATTTTTATTTTAAAAAACAGACATTTTAAATATTATGCTGTGGTAACTCTGGAAATCATATTTATTCTTCTTTCCCAGGGTGTCGTGTTACTGTTTGTTCTTGTTGTTTTTTGCTTGTTTAGTGACTCCCTTGAGCTAATTCTGTGAAATCTATATTTTTTATCATCTGTACCCACTGATATGTCACTGTAGTCATTTGTAGTCTTTGCTCCGTCAGATCAATGGTTCACAAATGATCAGGCAAACATTTCCTCAAATGCTGGAATCAAAGACTTCCTCTTCCTGTGTTTAAATGGGGGACTCTGTGTGCATTCCTTCAATTGTCAGGCAGGCAATTTACAGCTTTTCCTTAGCCTTTGTATATTGCTTGTTCAAAATCTAATGAAACCATATGTACATATAAACATCATGTTTCAGTGCTGAAGAGGAACTCTCTTGTAGGATGGTCCTTATAAGGTCCTTGATTAGCATCTGGACGGCCATCTTAAGTGACAGCAGCCATATTAAGGAAAAAGTTTTGCTTTCCAGCCCAAGGGCCTTTCTGAGAAAGGCTCACCACTCCCTCACACCAACCCAAGCCTTAACCCCCCGCATTAGGACATGCCTGGCTCTGATTCCTGAGCCTGCCCTATAAAAATCCCAGAATCCAAGCCTGTTTTGCCTCTCTCTCCTGTAGAGAGATGGCCTTTGTCAGCTCTGACAAATGAACCCTCCTGTGCGTCTCTGCCTGGTCTGTCTGTCATTCCTCGTTTACCCGTGTCTCATTCCTCGCTTTCCCTTCAGTCCTAGTTCTGCAGATCACACTGCTCAGCTCTTAGTTATTGTATATAGATCACCTAAATCCGCTTACCCATGGTGTGTGTGAGTGTACCCGTGGTCCGTATGCTCATCAGATCTCCTCGAAAGTATTGCCCCAATCTGCATTAAAATACAGATTGCCCCACTTTCAGAGATTCTGATTCAACAGCTCTGGGGTGGGGTCTGGAACTTTGTATTTCCAGCAAACTCCTAGAGAATACTAAGGACTGGTTGGGCACCCATGCTGAGAACTTTTGAAGGACTGAGATACAGTGCCACCAGCACACTGCTCATTATCCATCTTGTTAATGCACTTACTAACATACTTAGCTCCCTTTCCTTTGATAAGTTCATTCTACAATGGAATTGTTACACCAGAAACA